GGGCGGGGGGGAGCGGGCATTCGGGGCAGAGGTGCACAGCAGGTCCCAGCTACCGCTCACAACCCAGAGGAGGATTAGGGCAGCGATTGGACAAGGAGTCTGCTGGGCGTTGGGGAGGGGGCCTCTGTGCAGACCCGGCCCTCCCCAGGCCCTACCAGACTTCCCCAACGCAGAGGAAGTCCCTCACCTGGCACCCTCAGAACACGCCTGACCCCCAGCCTAAGATTTTATATTTAGAACACCAAAAGCTCCACCAGAAAGCCTCCAGAACTCATAAATGAATTCAGCAAAGTATCAGGATATAAAATTAACACCCATAAATCAATTACATCCCTATACATCAGGGATTAATCCACTAAAAGAGAAATTAGAAAAACCATCCCCTTCACAATAGCCTCAAAATATAATAAAAACATTTGGGAATCAATGTAACAAAAGAGATGGAAAACCTATACAATGAAAGATAAAGAACACTAAAGAAAGAAACTGAAGAAGACCTTACAAGATGGAAAGATCTCTAATGCTCTTGGATAGGCAGAATTAACATTGTCAAATGGCCATATTACCAAAAGTGTCATACAGATTTAATACAATTCCTATTAAAATCACAATGGCTTTCTTTATAGAAACAGAAAAAGCAGTCATGACATTCATCTGGAAAAACAAGAAGCCCAGAATAGCCAAAGCAATCCTTAGCAAGAAAAATGAAGCAAGAGGCATCACAATACCAGACCTTAAATTATATTACAGAGCCATAGTAACAAAAACAGAATGGTATTGGCACCAAAACAGATAGTATGCCAATGGTAGAGAACAGAAGACACAGAGACAAACCCACATAAATACAGTTATCTCATACTAGACAAAGGCACCAAAAACATACATTGGAGAAAAGATAGCCTCTTCAATAAATGGTGCTGGTAAAACTGGAAATCCATATGTAGCAAAATGAAATTAAACCCCAATCTCTCACCCTGCACAAAATTCAATTCAAAGTGTATCAAAGACTTAGGCACTAGAACAGAGACCCTGTGCCTAATAGAAGAAAAAGCAAGCCCAAATCTCCACCATGTCAGCTTAAGAACTGACTTCCTTAACAAGACTTCTAACTCACAAGAAGTAAAATCAAGAATCAATAAATGGAATGTAATCAAACAAAAAAACTTCTTCACAGCCAAGGAAACAATAAAAAATGTTAATACAGAGTCTAAGAATGGGGAAAGAAGAATAGAGTATTAATATATAATACGCACCTCAGAGTATTAATATATAAAGGATATATAAAGAACACCAAAAAAAAAAAAAAACACCAAATAATCCAATCAATAAATGGGCAAAGGAACTGAACAGACACTTCGCAATAGAAGAAATACAATCGGTCAACAAATACATGAAAAAATGTTCAACATCTCCAGCATTTGAAAAATGCAAATCAAAACTACACTGAGATTCCATCTCACTCCAGTAAGAATGGCAATAATCAAGAATACAAGTAACAATAGATGTTGGCAAGGATGTGGGGACAAAAGTACACTCATACATTGCTGGTGGGACTGCAAATTGTTGCAATCACTCTGGAAAGCAGTATGGAGATTCCTCAGAAAACATAGAAAGGAACCTTAAAATCAGCATACTCTAGTGAGGCACCCACATCAATGTTTACAGCAGTTTAATTCACAATAGCTAAACTATAGAATCAACCAAGGCACCCTTCAACAAATAAATGGATAAAGAAAATGTGGTACATATACACAACGGAATATTACTCAGCTATAAAGAAAAATGAATTTATGACACTTGCCAGTAAATGGATGGAGTTGGAGAATATCATGCTAAGTGAAATAAGCCAATCCCAAAAAAACAAAGGCTGAATGTTCTCTTAATATTCAGATGCTAACACACAATATGGGAGTAGGGGAGGTAAGAATAGAAGTTCATTAAACAAAAAAAAGGGGAGGAGGGTGGAAATGGGAAAGAAAGTAGAATGAATCTGATATATGAATATATGACTAGTGTAACTCCACATCATGTACAACCAGATGAATGAGCAGTTATATACCATTTATGTAAGAAGTTTCAAAATGCAGTCTACTGTGATGCAAAACTAATTAGAACAAATAAAATGTATATATTTTATTAAAAAAAATATGAAGCCCCGTACGTTTACATAGACCTGTAATCCCAGCTGCTCAGCAGGCTGAGGCAGGAGGATCTAAATTCAAAGCCAGTTAGCAAGGCCCCAAGCAACTTAGCAAGACCTCATCTCAAAGTAAAAAAAACAAAGAGGGTTGGGGATGTGGTCAGTGGTTAAGCGCCCTGGATTCCATGCCTGGTATCAAAAAAGAAAGAAAAGTCTACAAAGTAAGATTAAAATCCTTTTTTGTTTCTAATAAAAACAGAAGAGCCTCGTTATTTTATACTAATTAACAAACTACTGAGTTCATTTTATGCATCCCCAACACTGTGCCAAACTCTAGGGATGAACAAAATTAGAGAGTGACTACCCCAATATAAGGGAGTTCATAATTCAACTGGAAGGAAATTCTGGGTGAATAAGAAATACAAACAAGTAACTCTGATATGCTTTCTACACACAAGAGAGGTGCAAGCAGGAACAGAGATTATGTAACCAATAATTCCTTTTGAGCTTTAAGGAAAGTAACTCCATAAGTCATGCCTTTAAGGGATGTGTTCCCCAGGCAGAAAAGAGATGAAGATGTCAGAAAATTCCAGGTAGATACCCATGGTATAAGGAAAAAAAGCAACATATTCAGTAAGGTATTCAGTAAGACTGGAGGTTAGAAAAGTAAAGAAAGGAAAGGAACCATGGGAGCTCTACAAAGAAGTTTGAACTTCTTATGTAAACAGTGTGGAGCCAAAAGTTTTTAGAAAGAGAAGATACATTCACAAATTCTTTCTCAGAAAAAAATAACTGGTAATAATTACAGAGAAAAACTTGTGGTAAAGTAAATATTTGATAGGTTAAATCAAACATCCAGATAAATGAAGATGAAAGATTAATTTAGAATAGCAGCAGAGGAGAAGAAATAATGGATTAAAAAGACACTTCTGATACAACCAGAGATATGAAAAATTGTGCTCTATATGTATAACGTAATTATAATGCATTCTGCTGTCATACATAAAAAATTAATAAAATAAAAAATTAAAAAGTCACTTTTGAAGCTGGGCATGGTGGTACATTCCTATAATCCCAGCAACTCATGAGTCTAAGGCAGAAGGATCACAAATTTCTCAGCAAGACCCTCAGCAATTTAATAAGACCCTGTCTCAAAATAAAAAAAATAAAAAAGACTGGGGATTTAGCTCAGTGGTAAAGCAACCCTAGGTTCATTCCCCAGGATTCCCCCCTCCCAAAAAGAACATTTCTGAGTCTTCTGTATGTGATGGTGAGGATGGTTCTGAAGATGGGTGAAGTTTCCTCTTTGTCTAAAGGTGAATGACAACCTTAACCACAGAGATGATAACATTTTTATACAGCCATCTCTTAAAAATTTTTATTTTGGGTAGTGGGGATTGAACCTAGGGGCACTTTTACCACTGAGTTACATCACCAGTCCTTTCTACTCTATTTTGAGGCCGAATCTCACTTAATTGACCAGGCTGGCCTCTAATCTGTGCCTCAGTCTGGGCACAAAATAACCCAGCCGCCACAAAGCCTTGTAGGTTCAAACAGCAACTCTTTATTCCCGAACTCTCACTCTCACCGGCACTCTACACACACTTCCCGGGAATACACTCCCTCCAACGGGCCAATTCTGCGAGAACTCATCGGGAACTACAAAGTAGCGGGCACCCAAGGCAGCAGGATCCGTCCTAATCCTGGAGCCGCCCTATTCCTGGAGTAGGGTCACCTTTCAACCATTCCCTCTAGCAAAATGCCAGGCGTCATTCCGACTAAACTGTGGCTCTCAACAAATCTGCAATCCTCCTGCCTCAGCCTCCCAAGACACTGGGATTATAGGTGTGTGCCACTGAATACAATCAAATATTAAATGGAAAGCTATAATTCATTTTAAAGAAAAACAATTCACTGAATTGAATTCACATACCAATGTATCTCATCAGTGGAATAATAACACTTCACTCTTATCAGGATATGTTGATATTTCCCCAAACTTCTTACTTTTCATTCAAAAACTATTTGAACCATCAATGTACTTCTAAAATCTCAAATTCAACATTGCATTGGTAACTATATTACAAATTATCAATAATTTTGAATTTTAATTCTAAAAATGTCAAATTCTTAATTCTCAGGAATTAGTGAAATTAAAATAAACTTATCTGCAGTAATCCTTAAGATCCAGGCATCCCAAGGGTTAAACTTAAAACAAATAAGTGATTTATTTTAACAGAATGTAAATCATTAGCAAATATTTAGTATAACCAAATTTTTGTATAAAATATCTAACTTTAAGAATTCGTGAATCTCAAGTCAAACCTACTTGCTATAGACAAGAGATGCAAGACATTTATTTCAGACACATTTTTTTCAGCACACACTGTGTGCCAAGCACTGGTACTGGACTCTGAGAACAGGAGAAAGAAGGAGCTGATTCCCTTGTGAATCTTTATAGAGACACAAGCAAGGGATACTCTAATAGGTGCTATATATATGCAAAGTACATGAGATTAAAATATGGAAAGAAAGGCTTAGTTTGGTAGAACAAGTAGAAAGAAAGGGCTATCCGGTAAATAATTTTCAAAGGACACATCCAAGTGGACCTTAAGAGATGAGCAGAATTTCTTACAGAAGAGGGGACAGTGCAGAAATGTACAAAGTTTTAAGATTAAAATCCATGCTATATTCAAGAAAAAGGCAGAAGACAGGTACAGTTAGAACACAAAGCTAGAGAAAAGAGCAAAGAATATAAAATAAGCATAGTTTTGTGTGGTAAACCTGAAGTTGGCATTTTACCCCTGTAACAGGAAGCCATCAGAGGTTTCTCAACAAGAGAAACATATGAGCATCCCTGGTGGGGGCTGTTCATGGCGGTTCCGGGGTCTCTAGCATTTTTCCCGGTGGACGTCCTAAATCCGTCTGAAGCGGGGGCAGCGGAGCTTGAGGTTCTTGCTGGTGTGAAATGACCGAGTACAAACTGGTGGTGGTTGGAGCAGGTGGTGTTGGGAAAAGCACACTGACAATTCAGCTAATCCAGAACCATTTTGTGGATGAATATGATCCCACCATAGAGGATTCTTACCGAAAACAGGTGGTAATAGATGGTGAAACCTGTCTACTGGACATACTGGATACAGCTGGACAAGAGGAGTACAGTGCCATGAGAGACCAATACATGAGGACAGGCGAAGGCTTCCTCTGTGTATTTGCCATCAATAATAGCAAATCATTTGCAGATATTAACCTCTACAGGGAGCAGATTAAGCGCGTAAAAGACTCAGACGATGTACCTATGGTGCTGGTAGGAAACAAGTGTGATTTGCCAACAAGAACAGTTGACACAAAACAAGCCCATGAATTGGCCAAGAGTTATGGAATTCCGTTCATTGAAACCTCAGCCAAGACCAGACAGGGTGTTGAAGATGCTTTTTACACACTGGTAAGAGAAATACGCCAGTACCGAATGAAAAAACTCAACAGCAGTGATGATGGAACTCAAGGTTGTATGGGGTTGCCATGTGTGGTGATGTAACAAGTTATTTACAAAGTTCTGTCATCAAAAAAAGAGCCACTTTCAAGCTGCACTGATACCCTGGTCCTGACTTCCCTGGAGGAGAAGTATCCCTGTTGCTCTCTTCATCTCAGAGAAGCTCCTGCTACTTCCCCAACTCTCAGTAGATGAACACAACAGTCTCTGCTTGAGAATTTCTCAGAATAACTACCTCCTCACTTGGTTGTCTGACCAGAGAAATGCATCTCTCTTTATTCCCTAATAGTTTTCCACCCTGGGTTCTCCCCTATAGAAACAAACACACCTCCACCACCCATGTTTTTCATCGAAAGCCAATTCATGCTCTGAAACAGAGAACCAAACTAGACATGAAATTCTGTTGAAAACAGTTCCTTGAGCGCTAAAGTAGCAACTGCTGGTGATTTTTTTTTTTTTTTCTTATTTCTTTTTACTGTTGAACTTGGACGTATTTTAGCTTTTGGAGAAATGTCATGAATTAATGTTTTACCAAGAATATAATTAATGTTGCAGATTGGTTTATTTGTAACGTTATCAACTGTAGTCTATAAACTGGCATCTGCACTGTATTCATAAATACAAAAGTGAATGATAACTTTTGAGTCGATCCTAGTCTTCTCAACTTTCATGAAATTAAATCCACTTTTCACAACAAAGTGCCTTTTTCCTAGAAGTGATTTGTAGACTTTCTTTATAATACTTCACTGGAATAGATGTGTCAAAAACCATTATACCTGAAAATGAATATCTATGACCCATCTACCTTTAAGGAAAAGATATACAATAGCAGATGCCATTGTTTATGTATGTGAAGATGGTTTTCCAGAAGCCTATTTTGGAGCTTTCCCTGGGGAAAAATGAAACTGGAAGAAATTATGGATAATTTCACTTAATTTTTATCTTGTCTCCACTTTTTTGGTAGGTTACTACCTATAAATGTATGTAATTTGTTTCTTTTAGCTTAGTGATAATATCATGTTCAATGAACTTCCATTTATATTCATATTTGGGTCATACCAGAAAGTTCTACATTTGCAGTTATTCAAATATTATAACAATTTGGTGTGATGTTATTTTATAGCTGTAATCAGTGATTTTCAAACCTCAAATATAGTATGTTAACAGATTACATTTTCACTGCATATCATAGTCTCTTAATGATGTATGTAACTGCCCTCAATCCCCTTCTCACTCTACTCTCTGCCCCTCACCCCACAGCAATAGGGGCTTGATTAATTATTTCAGTTGAGTAAAGCATGGTGCTAATGGACCGGGGTCACAGTTTCAAAACTTGAACAAGCCAGGTAGCATCACGCACCAGTAACTCCAGCCAGTAGTTCTGTTGGATGCCTGCTGTTAACCCTGTAAGGAAAGAAGAGGTTAATAAGCATGAATCCTCTACCATGACTAGAAAAGTTTGGTATTCTAAGGAGAATTCAGCTTAGAAGTTTTTCTATTTCAACCTCCCCCTCTTTCTTTAACAACTTGGAAACTAAGCCAATATTTTTTTCTCATTTTTTGAAAATGAGGGTGCCTCAAAAAATTGTTTTTAATTTATAATATTCTCTGAGGGGTTTTAAATAGATGATGATATATTAGTCTGCATAGTAGACAAAAAAAAAAGCTGATGAATTTGTTCAAAACATAAAATAGCCTTTGGGTTGAGATTGCTGAGGAAAGAATAGAAATGTAATTAATTATTAGGAGTATGCAGAGGAATGATATTTCCATTTATAGGTAATGCCTTGGGTAATTTTCCTTTCTTTTTTGGTGGCACGGGGATCAAACCCAGGGCCTTACATGTGCTAACCATGAGCTACATAGCCAGCCCCAGGAATTCTAATGAAAAGTAGATTTGGATAACTTTTGATAAAGGCCTAATTCCAGAATGAACACTTACTGTTCTAATGTCTGAACATTTACTGAGGTTTTTGTTTTCTAATATGAATTTTCATTTATTAAGCAAACTCCACATTATCCGGAAATGAGTTCAAGAACAGTAGAAGAAACATATACTATGCCCAGATTATAATAAATTCAAGAGTTGTGCTCCTTAGTGCTAATGCTGGGAGCATTCACAGTAGGGTTGTCACCTACAAATGAAACTGTGCTGCTTTGTGTCTGCCCCTTTTGCTCTGTCATTTTCCTGAGGCTAGATTGAGACTTACCACCTCACTTGAACTCTTATGTGTATGTGTATGTGACAGCAATGTGAATCTAAAGAGTTTTTTAAATTTAATGTCAAATTAGGGAGAAAAATAGTTACTCCTTTTGGGCTGTAGTGGCCTTAGCCCTTGTATGTATGTATCTATAGTTTTCTTAGATATGTTGTAAGCACAGAAGTACAGAAATGGGGCCAAAATTCAGACTTGAAAATGTTCTTTAATAGCTTCTTAAGAAGTTGCACTTCAGTGTGAATTTTGGCGCGACAGAATGACATGCTTAAGAGTTAAAAGCTGAAAAGTTCAGTTAGTGTAGTATAAAACAGTTTTTAGAATATGTAATTGTTGAAAATAATTGTTTTACCTCAAATTCTCAAGGTCACTTTCCCCAATTTAAGTGCCTGGCCAGCTGTCATAAATTACATATTCCATTATGGTTTTGTTTTGTTTTTAAAGATTGCACATTGGAGAGTGTGAAAATAAGATGTTCTGCCTAAAGCTACCATACCTAATCTGTAAATGAATCTGTTAAATGCTGTATCTGCTCCAGGAGCTTACTATAGAATGTTAACTTGGTAATACAGTACACTTAGTTATTCTTTAGGAATGTAATAGATAAAATTAATCTCTCTTTTTTTTTTTTTTGGTGGGCCCCCTGTTTAGTCTTTCATCATCCTTTAAACTGCTGTGAATTTTTTCATTACTTGAAAGCAAGGATAAAGGAAAACTTTAAGAGAAAAAAAAAGAGAAACATATGATTAAACAGATACTCTTGATAAGCAGTAGTATTCCGGATGAATCAGAGGTTTTAAAGCTACATATAAGGAACCACTATAATGATTTGGGGAGGGTTGATGAGGGCCAAAATTAAAGAAAATGTAGTAGGAGTGAAGGGAATGAATCCAAGGCACATTCCAGAAATGGAATAATCTACTGCAGTCAAATATATTTGGTTATATTGTAGGCATTTGAAAAATATTTGACAAATCAATGTTAATATACATGTATACATATATGGTTCTATGGCAGACAGACAGCTAAACACCTTAAGATGACTAAGGTTTCCAGAGTATTGTCTCAGTGAAATTAAGGTCACCAAACAAAATGTGTGCGTGCGCGTGCGCAGGAAGGAGAGGGGAAGAGAGAGGAAAAAGGAAGGAGGGAGGAAAGGGGATGAGGGAGGGAGGGGGGAGAGGGAGGGAGAGAGGGAGAGGGAGAGAGAGAGAGAGAGAGAGAGAGAGAGAGAGAGAGAGAGAGAGAGAGAGAGGGAGAGTATGAGCCAGTTTGCAGACAGTTTCTCAAAACTCTAGCCAGGGCAATCAGGCAAGAGAAGGAAATTAGGAGCATATGAATTGGAAAAGAAGAAGTCACACTATCATTGTTTGCTGATGACATGATCCTATAAACAGAAAGACCCAAAAAAATCCCATTAGAAGACTTCTAGAAATGACAAATGAATTTAGCAAGTAGCAGAATACAAGATCAATAGTCATAAATCAACAGTTTTCTATAGTCCAACAGTGATTCAGATGAGAAAAAAATCAGGAAAACCACCACCTTCACAATAGCCTAAAAAAAAAATAAAATACCTGGGAATTAATCTAACCACAGAGGAGAAAACAGAACACTGAAGAAAGAAATTGAAGAGGATCTCAGAAGATACAAATACCTCCCATGTTCTTGGTTAGGCAGAATTAATATAGTCAAAATGGGCATATTATCAAAAGTAATATGCATATCCAATGCAGTCCTAATCAAAATACTTACAACATTCTTCACAGAACTAAAAGAAACAGTCCTAAAATTCATTTGGAAGAAGAGACCCAAAATAGCCAAAAGCAATTCCAAACAAGAAAAGTGATGCAGGAGGGATCACAATACCCAATCTCAAATTATATTACAGAGCTACAACAGCAAAAACAGAATGGTATTAGCATCAAAAGAGACATGAAAACCAATGGAATGAAATAGAAGACACAGAGACAAACCCAATTTTATGCAGCCATCTGATCCTTGACAGAGGCGCCAAAAAAATATATGTTGAAGAAAAGACAACCTACTTAACAAATGCCGCTGGGAAAACTTGTTATCCATATATACAGAAGAATGAATTAAGATCCCTATCTTTCACATACCATAAAAAGTCAAATAAAAATGGACTAAAAATTAAGACAAGAGGGCTGGGGTTGTGGCTCAGAGGTAGAGCGCGTACCTACATGCATGAGGCACTGGGTTCGATCCTTAGCACCACATAAGAATAAAATAAAATAAAGTGTTCACCTATAACTAAATATTTTTTAAAAAGTAAGACAAGAAAGCTTAAAACTACTAGAAGAAAACATAAGGTCAATACTTCATCATATAGGTGCAGGCACCAACTTCCTCAAAAAGACCCCTAAAGCTGAAGAAATAAAACCAAGAATCAGTAAGTGGGATGCCATCAAATTAAAAAGCTTCTACATAGCAACGGAAATGATTAAGAGAGTGAAGAGGGAATCTATGAAATGGGAGAAAATCTTTGCCAGCTACTCCTCAGACAGGAGATTAATATCCAGAATATAGGGCTACGGATATAGCTCAATTGATAGACTGCTTGTCTCACATGCACAAGGCCCTGAGTTCATTGCCTAGCACCACCAAAAGAATCCAGGATATATGAAGAATATATATATAAAGAACCCAAATATATACAAATATATGAAGAACCTAAATACCAAAAAAAAAAAAAATTGCTCAATTAATTTAAGTGGGCAAAAGAACTAAACAAATTTCTTACAGATGACCAACAAATGTGAAAAAAATGTTCAACATCTCTTGCAATTAGGGAAATGCAAATCAAAAGTACACTAAGATTTCCTCTCGCTCCAGTCAGAATGGCAATTATCAAGAACACAAATAGGGCTGGGATTGTGGCTTAGCGGTAGAACGCTTGCCTCGCACAGGCAGGACCCGGGTTCGATCCTCAGCACCACATAAAAATAAAGGCATTGTGTTGTATCCATCTACACCTAAAAAATAAATAAATATTTTTTAAAAAAGAACACAAATAGTATAAATGCTGGCAAGGATGTGGGGAAAAAGGTATACTATCACATTATTGATGAGACTGCAAATTAGTACAACCACTCTGGAAAGCAACATGGAGATTCCTTAAAAAACTAGAAATGGAACCATATGACCTAGCTAGCCCACTCCTTGGTGTTCATCCAAAAGATCTAACATAAGATAGTACATAGTACTTCAATGTTTATAGCAGCACAATTCACAATATCCAAATTATGGAATCACCCCAGTTGCCTGTCAATACATGAATGGACTAAAAAAATGGGATGTATATACACAGTGGAGTTTTACTCAGTCATAAAGAAGAATGAAATAATGGCATTTGCAGGTAAATGGCTGTAATCAAATTCCTTGCATATATGATTTTGTCAAAATGAACCCAGAGCTCCTATGCCTAATAGAAGGAAAAGTAGACCTAATCTTCATCATGTTGAATTAAGCCCCAACTTCCTTAACAAAACTCCTAAAACAAAAGAAATAAAATCAAGAATCAATAAATGGGATGGATTCAAATTAAAAAGCTTCTTCTCAGCAAAAGAAACAATCAATGAGGTGAATAGAGAGCCTACAGAATGGGAGCAAATTTTTACCACACGCACATCAGATAGAGCACTAATCTCCAGAATATATAAAGAGCTAAAAAATTTTAACCCCCTAAAAACAAATAACCTAATCAATAAATGGGATAAGGAACTGAACAGACACTTCTCAAAAGATGATATACAATCAATCAATAAATATATGAAAAAATATTCAACATTCTAGCAATTAGAGAAATGCAAATCAAAACTACTCTAAGAGTTCATCTCACTCCAGTCAGAAGAGCAGCTATTAAGAATAAAAACAACAATAAGTGTTGGCGACAATGTGGGGGAAAAGGCACACTCATACACTGCTGGTGGGA